GTGCTTCTTGATTGTCGGCTCTTATTCGTTGGAGATGAGGACAATTACTGACGAATCAATGAGTGAGAAAGTGCGTTGCAAAGGCGAGGACTTTGTCTCAGCTTCGCCTCGCAACGCGTGGCAGGGCGTACATGCAGATCAAGCAGATTCAACTCGTTCAAATCAAGTATCTATCGAGTGATTGCAAGCATCGATGATGCTGCTTTGTTGAAGTGTCATGGATCGATGAGTGTGGACGAACTATCCATGCAGATGGCGGAAAGCGGTCCCATTCGTGAGGTGCTGTGTCGAAGCTTCCAGCACATGCGGTGGTGCTATGCTTGAAGCACATGTGCTGCTGCTATGCTTCAATTCACAGGATCGTGCTTCTCTGTTCACCATTCACGACTGTTGTGACTTGTGAATTGCGAATCACAACGAATGGAATGGCGCGTCATCCTTTGCTTGCTTTGCACCGCTTCATCCACGATTGTCCCTGACCCTCGCAAGACGTCTCAGAAACGCCCAACCAGAGCACCATCACAAAGGGCGGAGCGCAAGAGCCAAGGAGCGCGAGCGATTTGCAGCTTTGCTTAGAGTTCCCTTGTCATTCGAATTCGGGTGCATGATTGCAAGCCAGTGCTTGCTCGAAGGGGGAACCCACAGCACATCAGCGCCTCATGGTGCGGTGCCAGCAAGGTGCCAGAGCATCTCGTCCAATAAAGCAGACGCACGCTGTAAGGTCACCTTCTCGTGACTTTCTGTTCGCGCCTTGTCACGTACAGCAGTGGGACTGTAGTAGGAGTCTAATGGTAGTCACGATTAGTGTAGATCCAGATCGAAAATACGATACGCAAGATCCCCCGCCCCTCTCCTGTCAGTCTTGACCGTGCATCACGTCGCCCATGTAAGTGCCACTTTCATCCTTTCATCCTGCATCCTAGGAACGCTTGCACTCATCACTAGCCCAGGCTCGAGAGCATTTTGTTACCCTTTACCTCTACCCTCATCAAGGAGCTTCCTACCTCGAAACACTGCGGCTAGCTTCAAAGTAGATCGCCCGGCAACATGAGCACTTTTGCGGAGCTCTTTCCCACGACGCCACCGGAACAGAGGCTCAAGACCTACGTCGACGCTTTTCCGTGGTTGGTCAAGGCGGATGGCGAAGTTCTTGATCCTCCAAGGTCGTACACGGATCCCGCGATCAAGATGCTCTTCGAAAAGCCTTTGTGTTATGTCTATCATCTGGTGAGCTCTTTCCCGTCTCTTCTCTTGAGCTGAGCCGAGCTCAGCGCCGCTTTCGTTCTGCTTGCAGGCCTTGGTAGGAAGAGGCTTCTGTATGCGCATTCGTCACCTTGAAAGCAAGATTGAGGACGGCGGGCTGAGGCTCTTCTACGGCTTTTCGCAAAAGGATACGGACAGCTGGACAGGCACTTCAGGCATGACCTCTCCGGGCGTCATCAAAGTAGTAGCGGATCCCGAAGGGCCAGAGGCGTTCTACTTGTTGTCCTGGTTCAGAATCGTAAGTTCTATGCCAAGCTAAAGTTTTGCGCTTGTCGGCGTCAGCGCGAGCTGACAAGATGTGTTGGGCGATGGACAGAAAGTGATGCGCGAGGGCAAAGAGCCACCGCAAGAGAAGCTCTTCGATGACGCGCCCCCAACGCCGGAGCGTATTGCTGTCAACAATGTTCAGGGATTCAAAGTCAGCTTTCAGGACATTGTCAATGAGCGCCATCGACCTCCTCATATTCCTAAAGGCGAGCACTTCTACGAGCTTTTGAAGTTTAACTGCTTCGCACCGCCAGGAGCCGATGTGGTGAGCGCATAAAAGCGAATGGGATTCTTCAGACGAGCCGTCGTATCTCACATCGTGCTCTGAGTCCTGCGCTGCAGTTCCTGAAGATGGATGGCAAGTTTCGCAAAGTGAAAGATGGCTACTTTTACGAGAAAGGCTATCCGACCACAGTCGTATTTGAGGATCCCAACACGGCTCCAGTGACGTTTTCCAAGGGTCACAATGTCGCTGCCATGACGTATTTGGTGCAATCCACTGGATCAAAGAGCGCGGAGAAAGAGGCGCCTCTAAGCAAAAGCGTGAGAGTGTGTGGTCAAGCTGGCGCACCCTTGGTGTTGAGTGGTGCTGAGACTCAACGCTTAGCCCTCCCCGACTTTGACCCAGAAAGATATAAAGCTGCCCAGCTGCTGTGCCGCCGGAAAGGCGTGTGCAGAGGCACATCCGTCCACCGCTAGTGTCAGCTCCTCCTTGCAGAATGCCGAAGCGGGACCCTCCTCGCAAAAGGTCAAAAAGTCTCGCAAAGGCAAGAGGAAGATGCCTAGAAAGTAAAGTGGTCGTCATATGAACAGCCCATCCGCAGCACACCCTCGAACGTAGTGTTGCCTTGAGCAAGCGGCGATCAAAGTCCGCAGATCGTTCCCACATCTCCCTAAATGCCTTTTGGATTCCACGATCGAGATTCAAACTCCTAGAAATCTTTCACCGTCTTGACAAGGTCGAAGCCGTGTAGCACAGCTCTCGTTGACTAAAATAGCCTGAACGGCTCCCCATCAAGTTCCACCACCCGGTTTCTGAATACAACAGCCAGCAGCTTCAGCTTCCGAAGCGTGACTTGGCTCTACAGCCACTTTCGTGAGTCGGTGGCGAAGCGAATTTCATGATTGTTGGGCTTGCGTGGAGTCGCGAGTCTGTCTCTTGACCGCACGGAGACAATCAAATTCATCCGCTTGAGGTGCCAGTATGAGCACGGCTGATGCGTCATTCCTTCGTATCTAACCTTGATTCACATAGTCGATGTTGTAGACGCGATCTGGATTCTAATTCGCTCGCATCGGAACTTCTACCGCTGCGAATCAGACTCGGTCCGTCTGATTGCGTCTGATTGGAATATTCACATTTTGATACGCAATCACGAATCTTGAACCCAAGCATGCATGGTCCCAGGATTGGAGGTCACGTGAATATCACCTCCACATGCGGGGAAATCACATGGGTGAGCTTGCAGCATGGAAGATGGAACTCACGCCCGCACTCGAGACTCCGAACGCGCTCGGGCAGAATTCGCGTGTACGGCGCGTGA